CAATTGTTCATCATAAAACTGCTATTATATTCCTCCTGCTCACGTGAATGTGGCAAGGATATATTCAAACCAGATAGGGAAACTCGGTATTTCTTTGTATGATGCTTGTAAATAGCAAGAAACATTTAGTGTGTGTGTAGGTGAGACATGATAAATGTATCTGTGCTGAGTGATTTGACTTTTTTTTAAAAAGATACTTTAATATGTTTGAGAAGTTACTCTTCTCCAGTGTGATTATTACTTGGATGAACAGTCTTTTAAAATAGTTTAAAATAAAATAATAGACAAATGGTTATGAGTGGTGGAGTATGTGATTGTCTGTGGGATATAATTTAAGATACTCTAAAAGTCGCTGCTTACCTCACAAATTTTTCTACCATTTTTCAGAATCTTTTCATTAGACGTTAGCTTTTTTCATGTGTGTTACAATATTACCCAGCGAGAGGTACCACTTTAAGTTGTCATCACTTGCTTGTGCATTTCATGTAAATGACTATCCTATCTGCACTCAAGAACACTTTTTAAGAGAAAGAAGAAAGAAACATGTTGACATTATTGTCACCCATGAGGATGTGAATGGGCCACTGCAGAAGGGGCATAATTGTGTAGAACAGGGATGCTGAGGTCACCTAAGGCAAAGTTTTTTTTCACAATGTTTTATTAATCAATTTTGAATTATCAACAATCACTTCCAGAAGTTTTTGAGTTTTAAATTTTTCTCCCCCTCCCTCTCTCCCTCCCTCCCTTCCCAAGAAGGCGTGCAATCTAATATAGGCTATACATATACATTCTTATTAAATATATTTTCACATTAGTGATGTTGTAAGTAAGAATTTGAAGTAATAGGAGGAACCACTAGAAAGAGGAAAGAAAACACCACAGAAGAAAAAAAAGTAGAAACACTATGCTTCAATGTGCATTCAAACACCATAGGTCTTTCTTTGGATGTGGATAGCATTTTCTATCATGAGGCTTTTGGAGATGTCTTAAATCCTTGTATTGCTGAGAGGGGTTAAGTCTATCAAAGTCAGTAATCACTCAATGTGGCTGTTACTGTGTACAATGTTCTCCTGGTTCTACTCACTTCAGTCAGTGTCAGACCATACAAGTCTTCCCAGGTTTATCTGAAGTTTGACCGTTGATCATTTCTTATAGCACAATAGTATTCCATTACATTCATGTATCACGTTCACAATTATGATTACTCTCTGTGTCTTCCCCTCTATCCTTCCCCTTCTTTATGCTTTTCTTTCTCTTTTCTCCTTTTCCCTCCTCACTAATGTTTTGCTCTTGACCACTGCCTCCCTCAGTCCCACTTCCCTTCTATTAGCCCCCTCCCTTTTCTTTCCCCTTTTCCCTCCTACTGCCTATAGGGCATGTTAGATTTCTATACCTAAATGATGATGTTATTCCCTTCTTGAGCCAAATCTGATGAGAGTAAGGTTCAAAGAATGCTCATCTCCCTACCTTCTTTCCCTCTGCTGTAATAGGTTGTTTTTGTGCCTTTTCCTGTGATGCAGTTTACCATTGTCTGCCTCCTCCTTTCCTTTTCTCTCAGTACATTTTCTTAGTTAGATCAGATTAATTCACTTGGATCCATTTAATCCACTTGATTAGATTTTTTTCATCATTACATCAAAGTCAATTTATACCCACCCCCTTTAACCTGGTATAATAACAATGCAGTTCTCAAGAGTTACAAGGGTCATATTCCCATGTAGGGATGTAAACAGTTTGCTCTTATTAATAACATGTTGTTTCTTTCTGTCCCATTTACTTTTCTATGTTGCTCTTGAGTCTTGTATTTGAAGACCAAATTTTCTGTTGAGCTCTGCTCTTTTTATCAGGAAGGTATGGAAGTCCCCTATTTCATTGAATATACATCTCCTCCTGAAAGATCATGTTCATTTTCACTGGGTAGTTGATCCTTGGTTGTAGTCCAAGCTCTTTTGCCTTATGGAATATCATATTCCACTCCCCAGGGTCTTGTAGTGTAGAAGCTGCAAGGTCTTGTGTAATCCTGACTGTGGGTCCATGATGTTTAAATTTTTTCTTTCTGGCTGCTTGCAATATTTTCTCTTTGACCTGGTAATTGTGGAATTTGGCTACTATATTCCTTGGTGTTTTCAATTTGGGATCTCATTCAGGAGGTGATTAGTGGATTCTTTCTATGGTTATTTTACCCTCTGGTTCTAGGACCTCAAGGCAGTTTGACTTCATGATTTCCTGAAAGATACTGCCCAGGCTCTTTTTTTCACCATGATTTTCAGATAGACCAATAGTTTTAAATTGTCTCTCCTGGATCAATTTTCCAGGTCAGTTGTTTTGCCAATGAGATATTTTACATTTTCATCTATTTTTTCATTCTTCTGTTTTTGTTTGACTTATTCTTGCTCTCTCATGGAGTCATTAGCTTGCATTTGCTCAATTCTAATTTTTAATAAATTGTTGTCTTCTATTAGATTTTGTACCTCCTTCCCCATTTAGCCAATTATATGTTTTAGGGACTTGTTCTGTTGAGTGTACTTTTGTTTCCAGTTGGCCAATTGTATTTTTTAGGAACTTGTTTTCTTCAGTGTACTTTTTTTTCTAGTTGTCCAATTTTATTTTTTTTTATGAACTTGTTTTGTTTTTTAAATTTTTTCTTTTTTTCTTTTATTAATTTATTTTGATTTATCAATAATCACTTCCATATGCTTTTGAGTTTAAAAATTTTCTCCCCCTTTCTCCCCAAGATGGTGCACAATCTGATATAGAGGACTTGTTTTCCACAGTTAATTTCTGTCCTTCCTTTTCCAAACTATTGACTCTCTTTTGCATACCTTCTCATTTCATTTTTTCTTCTACTTCTCTCATTTGACTATTAAAATCCTTCTTGCACTCTTCTAAGAAGGCTTTTTTGGGCTTCAGACGAGTTCATATTCCCTTTTGAGATTCCAGATGTAGGTTTGTTGACAATGTTGTCCTCTTCAGAATTTCCGCCTTAATTTTCACTCTTCCCATGATAAGAATCTATAGTACATTTCTTTTTGCTCATGGTGTTTACCTATTTCCTGGCCTTTAAAGAGATTGGGATCTCTTGCTGGGGAGCAGAAGGCACTGACCCAAGCTTCTTGTGTTGGGAGCCTAGGGCTTGGTCGATGGCTTTGTGTGCTGGGGCCTCCAATGTTGGCAGTTGGAGGCTGTAGCATTCTGGCAGCTTACCTGGTGTTGGGCTGGAATCAGCAACACTGGAACTCTAGGGGTAAATTTATTTTGCATATGAATTCTTAAAGATCTGGGTATGGATGATGGAATTGAAGAATAAACAGACTATTCTTCAGTGCAGGTGCATATTGTACCACAAGGCAGGTCATCTTGTCAGAGGGCAGATGAATGATTTTTTAGCTTTCTTTCTACCAATTGATTATGCCTAGGATTATTCTAGCTGCACAGTATTTAATCCTTAGTGTCATCTTGACTTTTTTGCCTCTCTGACAACTCTTGCATTTGTCATTTTCTTTCTACTCCCCAACCTAATTCTGTCCTTCTCCACATTGGTTTTCCTACCCTATAAAATCTCTTGCATCTCTAATCTGTCATTGACTTCTCTGCCAAAGTAATTTTCTTAGAACACATGTGTAACATCATTACTTTCCTATTCAACAAACATACATGGCTCATTAGAGCCTCTGGGATCAAATGCAAATACCTTGGTTTTCCACTTAATGCCCTTTACAGAATTGGTCCAACCTGCCTTTATAGTCTCATTATGCTTATTCCTTTTTAGCCCAGTATGGTCTACAGAAAATTGTCTTTTAATCATTTCTCATACATATTACTTCTCATGACACTATTTTTGTACTTGTCCTCCCCCATGCCTGACATGCACTTTAATCTCACCCCCGTGTCTTAGTATTCTAATTTACTTCAAGGGTCAGCTCTTCCAAGTCTCATCTTCTGCACAAGACTTGCTGAATTCCATTAGCTGCCTTTCTCCAATCAAATACTTGGGTCTCTTTCTTGCATATTCAATGGCTCCCTATTATCTCAATGTATCAAATCTCCCGTATCAATTCTCCCTTCACAACCTTGCCTTTTCCTGCCTTTGCACTCTTTTTACACCTTACTTGCCTTTATTTCCTCTGAGATCCAGTAACACTGACTCTGGTCCCTCTGCTCTTCCTCCAACATAAAACTATCTCTTGACTCTACACATTCTTGTGTTGGAGAATCTGCAATGCTCTCCACCCTCATCTCTGCCTTTTGATTTTCCTCCTTTCCCTTCAAGTCTCAGCTGAAGTCCTGACTTTTACAAGAAGCCTTTCCCAGACATCCTCCATCAGAGTGCCTTCCTGCTGCTGATTATCTCCAGTTTTTCCCCTAAGTATATCTTGTTTATACATAGTTGTTTTGTGTTGTCTGCCTTAATAGACCTTCAATTCCTTGAGAGCAGGGATGTTTTTTCGCCCTTTTATTTTTATCACTATCACTTAGCACAGGGCTTGGAACATAGTAGATGCTGAATAAATGCCTGTTGACTCTCTTAATATATGTATACATATATATATATATATATAAATATAGATGTGTGTTTGTGTGTATACACACATGTAGTTATCTCCCCGAATTTACTTGATCGTAAACTCCTTGAGTCACAAATTGTCCCAGTTTTGTGTTTTATCCTCAGTGTCAATTGACTGACTGAGGATGTAACTGTGAGTGTGTATATGTATAAGTGGGTGTATATATTTATATTTATGTATATGTATATGCATATAACATATATTTGTATGTGCATATTTAAGTGTATCAACACATATATACGTAATTATCTCCCCCAACTGTGCTGTAAACTCTTTGAGTCAGGAATTGTTTCATTTTTGTCTTTTATTCTCACTGCCTGAGATGTAGTAGGTGCTTAATAAATACTTATTAATTGACTGATTGCTGAGGGATTATAATGTAGGTAGAAAGAGTACAGGGAAAGACTTTCATGTTTTGATGTACATGGTGCCGAGGTTTAATGGAAAAAACGTCCAGGAAAGATTTTAGGTGAGTTTCTATCTTTTTGCACCTCAGATCTCAGTGCAAAAGGTCAAAGTGGTTCCTGTCATCTTCTTCTGGTAGTGTTCATCAAATTTCTTATTCTGGGCTACAGTAAAATGTTTGTTCCAGTCCCCTGGCATTCCTGAAACAAAGCAAAATCCCAGTATTGATCTCATGAGGTAGAATTTTCAAAATTATTGTATATGTATGTAGCCTCTGAATGAATGGGTAAGAGCATAAGGTTTGCTTCTTTAGAATTACAAAGAAATACTATTGACCTGAATATATGAGTTCCAATAACATTATAAGTTTTTAGAGCATTTTTCAGTTCACAAAAAACTTTTTATTTATCTCATTACTTTTTATGACCCTATGATTTAAGCAAATTAGGCAAAATTGTCCCTATTTAACAAATTAGTACATGGAGACCCAGCTTATGGTCACATATTGATTAAGGGTATAGTTGACCTTATGAACAAATTCTAGTGCTCTTTCTGCAGGGTTATGCTGCCTCTCCACAATATGTAGCATAAAAGAACACTTAAACAAGTCTCAACTATTATGTACTGAGGTTTGTCTTATACAACATGACCCTCAGACTTGAACCTCACTCACCTTTCCTCATGAATGGGGTAATGGAGTGGTTGGTCCTTCATGGCTCTAAGAATGCTGGTGTAGTTAGCCATGGAATTTTGCTTCATGATATCAAAAGAGGTGTGATAGATGATCTCATTGAGAATATCCTCTGATACATCCTTCTCCGGGAATTTTAATATCTTTTGGATTTCCCGCTTTGGGTTCTAAGTGAGGGAAGTCAGTAAAAATTAAAAGAAACAAAGAAAGAAAGAAATAAACAGATAGAATCTTTTATAGACACAGTACCCCACCATATCTGCAAACAAGGTCCTAGGATCCTAGACCTAGGGCTAGAAGAGACCTTGGGGTCATCTAATCTAATTGTTTTATTTTCTCAATAAGGAAATTCAGGTGAAGTGAGGCTCAATGACATCCACAAGGTGACAGTGGTAGTAGATCAATCAGTAAGCAATTATGATGTGCTTAAGATGAGCCTGGTAATTTTCTTTAGGCTGCACTCCTAGCTCTGGCATCTTTCTCTTTGAAGACAGAGAAGCCTCTGCATGTTGGCAGTTCACCCTCAACCCTAGATTTCTCACCCTGGAAGTATGTCCTATTCCTGACAGCTTTTCTTCCCAGAACCTGACTTTGAAGGAGTTACCCAGGCAGCCACATCTCCCTTCCCCTCTTGATTCTACTTCTGACCCTCTAGAATTTCTCTAATATGTTCTCTTCCTTTTAAACTTCCTTTTCTGTCTTGTTTTCTCCTATTGAAATGTAAGTTTCTTGAGGGAAGGAACAGTATTTTTTCTGTTCTTATTTGAATTATTAGTGCTAAGCACAGTGCCTGTCAAATAGTAAGCACATGAAATAAATGTTTATTGCCTTGCTAAATATAAGACATATACACAAATGTGTGTATATGTGGCATTTTTTATATATATACCCTCACAGATATACAAATATCCACACACACAAATATATATGTATATATACATGTATACATATGTATTCATGTATATGTATATATACATGTATGCATATGTATACATATATGTGTGTGTGTGTATATACATACACACACATACACATAAAATGCAGAATCTAATCTCATAGGGAAGGCATTAATAGCCTTGTGGGCTAAAACTTTACTTGAACAATGACTTCCTTTCCACTGTATGCTTAGTATTTCCAGCTCATTCTAGCTGCACTGTATGAGTTTTTTATGTATTGTACATAACAGGTTTTAATGTGTTCTTTCTTCAACCCCCAAATCCATCATCCCAATTAGAATATGAGCTTCCTGAGAGTAAGGCAATTTTGATTTTTCTCTTTGTATCTCTACTACTTAGTACAGTGCATGTTACATAGTAAATACTTAGTAAATGCTTTTTCATTCATTCATTCATTCATTCATTCATTTGTAATATGGAGAAAAATGAGAGCACAGAAACAGCTGTTCAGTAAAGGCTTCTGGGAAGATATCGTACATGTTACACGCAACCAGATTGCACACCAAACGGAGAGGTGTGAAATAACTTTTGACATGGGCCAGGTGGAGCAGAATTACTGACTCAGTTTATTCATCTGAGGGTACAGGATATATAGAGAAAATCTAGCCTAATTTCAAAGCGTCCTCTCCGTGAGATACTCCCCAGAACATCTGCTGAGGACATGACAACATAAATTTCCTTGTATCAGGGTTCCTAGATTGGGTTGTATTTTCCAAGGTTTTCCCAGGTGCCTTGGCACCACCTTCATAGAGGAGTGAATGTGTAAATCTAAGGTTCAAAGAGTGAGAAGGAATGTCTCAGGAACCTCCTAATCAGGAAGGACTTGGAGAACCATATCACTTAATCATTGAGCCCTTTCAGGTAAAAGCCTGGGCAGAGGTCAAACTCTGCCTTGGATCTTAAACCCTTATCAGACTCTTAAGATTGGCCCTCAACACATACATTTAGCTGAGGTATTAAGGAAGCCAGGGATGGTCAGGATAAGTGATATAGGGAGTAGAACAAGAAATAGCTAGACGTCATTAGGGGTGAAGCAAATTTGACCATCCAAAGGGAGATTTGGTGTTGAAAAATACACTGTTAAAATTGCCATGAGGAAAATAAATTGAGAAGAGAATGTAACAAAAATTATGGAAAGAAAACATTGAACCTATAGGCATGTGTTGAGAAATCTTAATATCTTGCAGAATCCTAACAGGGCCTTGATGGAGGAAGCTTCCATTACCAGGAAGACAATATCATATAAAAATCAGTTTAAGATACAACTTCCATTTAGGAAGGGAAATGATAGCTGAAATTAAGTGACAGATTCACTATTACATGGAAGATGGATTAAACTTATTGTACATGACCCCAGAGGGCAGAACAGAGATCAATGGGAGGAAACTATGGACAGACTGATGTAAGTTTGATGTAAATAAAAGTTACCTTACAGTTGGAGCTATTGAAAAGTTGAATGGGCTATGTTAGGGATTCATGTGTTCTTCAGTAGAAGTCTTCAAGAAAAAGTTGGATGAACACCAGTCAGGGCCATTGTAAAGGGATCCTTGGACTCTCTGGTCTGTGAGGTCCCTCTTTACTCTTTGATTCTGAGATTCTGCATCAAGGATTGTTGGGTGCATGAACATTTACTCTATTACCCACCTCTTTCATGTCTTCATAGAACAGGTAAAGAAAAGGGTGTTTGTCCTTTTTATCCCACCATCCTTTCACATGGTCATACCAGGAACCCCAGAGCACTGGAGGTGAATAGAAGGATAGAGAACAGTTAACATCCATTATTCAAATTCCACATTTGGAAGAGTGGCTACTCAGTGTCTGTTGTTTGCCTCCTGTCTGTTTGTAAAAGGAAAAGATAATCAGGAAGTCTGGATTATCTAGTTCAAACAGACAAAGGATCACAGTAAAGACAATTTTTTGTAGCAGAAATAAGGATTCATATATAAGTATATGGTGATATACATATACATATATTTGTATGCTCATGTTTATGTTCATTTATGCAGAATTAGAGAAGTAATATCACATTGTATAAATAAAGATCATGCCTTAGAATCAGCAAAATCAGGTTGAATCCTACTGTATGCCTGGGCATATTTGCCTTAGGCAACTCTCTAAGACCAATTGTTGCAGCAAAATTGCTGATCCAAATAGGTAGAGGGAGTTTTCTCACTAAAAATTCCCTATACCAGTGAAATCATTGGTCCAGTCTGAACACACACACACTCAGACACACACACACACACACACACACAAATACAGACAAACACAATTGTGGTTTATTTAAGAGGTAGAGCAAAGCTATTGTTTCAGGCACCATATATATCTATTTATTTTACAGTGACTCATCATTGGTTCTATCCAGTATCACTGTGCATCAATACATTCATACTTCATCCATCCAAAAGAAAATGAGGTACTGAAAAAACTATCCTATGCATCCGGTGATTCCAGGAAAGCAGGAATTCCAATTATATTCATCAGAAAAAAGACAAAGAGTCATTAAGAACAAAAAAGCAGAAAATCCAATCAACAAAAAAAGTGGACAAAGTGAAAAAAAAACCCCAAACAAACCTGGAAACAAATAAGACCCCCAAACTAGTTTTGTTTGAAAAGAAAACAAAGAACCCCAGAAGAAATAAAAAGGAATAATTAGAACCTATTATATACAATTATATGCTAACAAACCTGAAAACAGAAAAGAAATAGAGTAGTTTCTCCATCAATATGGACATAAACAGTTTAGGATAGATTGAGTATTTCTAGAAGAGCTAAGTTCTTCTTTCCCAACCCCACTATACACTGTCATGCTTCAGTGTGCTGCTCACCTTATGTGCTCAATCATTGTACTTGACCAGCAATTTGCTAAGGAAAAGATGGCATAAATAATTTTGTACAACTCTGAATCATTTGGAGAAACATACTTTTAAGGAATTATGATTTTAATGCTGAAAAAATTAGACAAGTGCATATAGAAAACCTCCTCTCTTGTTTAGGGCTGACATTAGGTGAGGAATAAATCATGACTACAAATCCATGTCTACTCACCTCTTCCAGTCATGAATTTGTCAATGAACTCCTCTAAGGTGCCTGGTCTAGGTAGGTGACTAGCCGTTCTTGAGAAGTGATAGTAAGACACCACACTACCTTTCACATTTCTTGCCACATAGATGATCTGGAATGGATATAGATGTAAGTGAAGACAAAGAGTGTCAGTGAGAAAAAATAGTTAAGAGGAATGTTCATATATAGTATTAAGAATTATAATATTCAAAAAACTTCTTAGAGTCTTTGACTATTCCATTTCATTCACTGATACTGGGGGCACTGGGAATTGGGAGCTTGTCAGGGGCAAACTACAGTCTGTGGTTTGAGGGAAACCTTTTCTTTTTCATACAGGTAGGAATCTTTACCTAATATGAGGCAGACAAGGGATAAAGCAATTAGAATTCAAAAATCCAGCTTCATTTCACTATTATGAATTCATCTGGAGCTGAAGGTGGGAGTAGTGCTTCCTCTCTTCCATATTCACACCCATGTGTTCATGCTGAAGTCTAGTTTGTTTTTCTGCTTTGACTTTTTGTCATTGTTGTTTTTAGCTATTTTCACTCATGTCCTACTTTTTGTGACCCTGTTTGGGGTTTTCTTGGCAAAGATAATGGAGTGGTTCACCATTTCCTTCTCCAGCTCATTTTACAGACAAGGTAATTGAGGTAAACAAGGTTAAATGACTTGCTCAGGCTCACACAGTTAGTAAGTGTCTGAGGCCAGATCTGAACTCAAAAGATGTCTTGACTTCAAGCCAAGATTGCACCATCTAGTTTATGTTTACCTTTCTATGCTTTTCTCAACTCTTCTGTTGAACTTCAAAGTTTTTATTCAGTCCTGGTCTTTTCATCAAGAATGCTCAGAATTCCTGTATTTCGTTAAAGGTCTGTTTTTCCCTAGTATGAATATACTCAGTTTTGTTGGTAAGTTTTTCTCAGCTAAACTTTAATCCTCTGCCTTCTGTAATATCATATTCAAAGCTCTCCATCCTTTTATGGAGTCCCACAATTGTTTGTGATCTTGACTATGGCTCTTAGATATTTGAGTTCTTTCTTTCTGGATGCTTGCAATGTTTTTCTTTCACTTGGACACTCAAAATTTTGTCCCCTACAGGTTTCATTCATGAGATGACCAGAGGATTCTTTCTATTTCCTTTTTATGTTCTGATTCTTTGTTAAAACAGCAACAACAATAATAACAACAACAACAACTTATAAAGATTAATATCAGGTTTCTTACATCATCAGAATTATCCCAAGTATCCTTTCCTTTCCTCTTTCCAGAGAGCCATCTCACATAAAAAAAGTACTTTTTGAGAGGAAAAAGATCAGCATAACTGATCAATACCACACGCAGTGTGCAATGTATAAGAACCTTTTCTGTCAACAAAGAAATGTTTTTTTGGGAGGTATCCTTTCCTTTATTTTTGCTTTAAGTCCTGCTAGATCTTTACATATTTGTTTCATTTACTTTTTTTTTTGCTGTGTAGTTATTCTTTCCATTTACATCATTTGAGTTACTCTACATATTGTTTTGCCTCTGCTTTCTTCACTCTGCATTCTATGTGTCTCTGTCTTTATCCCATTTATTATTTCTTTTTCTTTATTCTTTTTAATTTTTAGAATAAAACAAGCATTTCCATAACATAGTAGAATAAAAGAAGATGATTGCACATGAAACTGAATCCTCTGAAAAACTGCTTGTTCATATCCTTTGACCACTTGTCAATTGGGGAATGAGTTGTATTCTTATAAATTTGACGCATTTCCCCATATATTTTAGCAATGAGGCCTTTATAAGAGATAGTGGTTGCAAAAATTCTTTCCCAGTTTTCTGCTTCCCTCCTAATCTTGCATGCATTGGCTTTGTTTGTGTAAAAACTTTTCAATTTAATGTAATCAAAATTATCCATTTTGCATTTCATAATGTTCTCTATCTATTTTTCGCTCATAAATTCTTCCCTTCTCCATAGATCTGACAGGTAAACTATTCCTTGCTCTTCTAATTTGCTTGTATATATGAATCATATACCCATTTTGACTTTATCTTGGTATAGGAGGTAAAATGTTGGTCTATGTCCAGTTTCTGCCGTACATTTTTCCAGCTTTCCCAGCAGTTTTTGTTAAATAGTGATTTAAATCCCAGAAGCTGGAGTCTTTGCATTTATCAAATAGTAGATTACTGTCATCATTGACTACTGTGTCCTGCATACCTAATGTATTCCACTGGCCCATTGCTCTATTTCTTAGCCAGTACCAAGTAGTTTTGATGATTGCTGCTTTATAATACAATTTAAGGTCTGGTACAGCTAGGCCACCTTCTCTTGCATTTCTTTTCATTTCCTTAGTTCCCTTGATATTCTATACTTTTTGTTGTTCCAGATGAATTTTGTTATTTTTTTTTGCTCTATAAATAATATTTTTGGTAATTTAATCAGTATGGTGCTGAATAAGTAAATTAATCTAGGCAAAATTGCCATTTCTGTTTTATTAGCCTACCCATGAGCAACTGATATTTTACCAATTATTTAGATCTGACTTTATTTATGTGAAAAGTGTTTTGTAATTGTATTCATATAATTCTTGATTTTGTTTTGGCAGGTAGACTCTCAAATATTTCATAATGTCTACAGTAATTTTAAGTGGAAGTTCTCTTTCTATCTCTTGCTGCTGGGCTTTGTTAGCAATATATAGAAATACTGATGATTTGTGCGGATTTATTTTATATCCCACAACTTTGCTAAATTTGTTTATTATTTCAAGTAATTTTTTACTTGATTCTCCAGGATTCTCTAAATACACCATCATATCATCTGCAAAGAGTGAGAGCTTTGTTTCTTCTTTTCCTCTTCTGATTCCTTCAATTTCTTTTTCTTCTCTAATTGTTACAGCTAACATTTCTAGTATAATATTGAATAATAGTGGTAATAAAGGGCATCCTTGTTTCACCCCTGATCCTATTGGAAATGCTTCTAGCTTATCCCCATTACATATAATGCTTGCTGATGTTTTTTGATAGATGCTATCATTTTAAGGAAGACTCAATTTATTCCTATGCTCTCTAGTGTTTTTAATCACAATGAGTGTTGTATTTTGTCAAATGCTTTTTATGCATTTATTGAGATAATCTTATGATATCTGTTAGTTTTGTTGTTGATATGGTCAATGATGCTGATAGTTTTCCTAATACTGAATGAGCCCTGCATTCCTGGTACAAATCCTACCTGGTCATCCTTGAGATAAGATGCTGTAATCTCTTTACTAATATTTTATTTAAAATTTTTGCATCTATATTCATAAGTGATATTGGTCTCTAATTTTCTTTCTCTATTTTGGCTCATCCTGGTTTAGGTATCAGCACCATATTTGTATCATAAAAAGGACTCCTTTTTCACTTATTTTCCCAAATAGTTTATATAGTATTAGAATTAGTTGTTCTTTAAGTGTTTGATAGAATTCACTTGTAAATCTATCTGGCCCTGGAGATTTTTTTTAGGGAGTTCGTTGATGACTTGTTCAATTTCTTTTTCTTTTATGAGGTTATTTAAGTATTTTATTTCCACTTCCATTAATCTGGGCAATTCATATTTTTGTAAATATTCATCCAGTTTACTATGAGTCTCAAATTTATTGGCATAGAGTTGGGCAAAATAGCTCAGTTATTGTTTTGATTTCCTTTTTATTGGTGGTGAACTCACCCTTTTCATTTTTGATACTGTTAATTTGGTTTTCTTCTTTCTTTTTAATCAAATTAATGAAAGGTTTGCCTATTATATTGTTTTTTTTTCATAAAACGAGATCTTAGTTTTATTTATTAGCTCAATAGTTTTTTTTTCATTTCAATTTTATTAATCTCTCCTTTGGTTTTCAGAATTTTTAATTTGGTATTTAATTGGAGATTTTAAATTAGTTCTTTTTGTAACTTTTTTAGTTGCATCAATTCATTGACCTCTTCTTTCTATATTTTATTCATGTAAGCATTTAGAGATTTAAAACTTCCTCGAAGGACTACTTTTGCTGCATCGTATAAGTTTTGGTTTGTTGTCTCATTGTGGTCTTTCTCTTGGATGAAGTTATTGATTGTTTCTATGATGTATTGTTTGACCAACTCATTCTTTTAGGATTAGATGGTTTAGTTTCCAATTAATTTTTAGTCTATCTTTCCATGGCCCTTTATTACATGTAGCTTTTATTGCATCATGATCTGAAAATGATGCATTTAATATTTCTGCCTTTCTGCACTGGATTGTAGGGATGGTATGCCCTGGTACATGGTCAATTTTTGTGGAGGTGTCATTTACTACTGAGAAAAATCTATATTCCTTTCTATCTATTCAGTGTTCTCCGGAGTCCAACCATATTTAACGTCTCTAAAATTCTATTGATCTCCTTAACTTCTTTCTTGTTTATTTTGTGGTTAGATTTGTCTGGTTCTGAAAGAGAGAGGTTGATGTTCCCCACTAGTATAGTTTACTATCTATTTCTTCCTGTATCTCCCTTAGCTTCTCCTTTAAGAATTTGTAAGCTATACCACTTGATGCATATAGGTTTAGTAATTATATTACTTGATTATATATGGTACCTTTTACCAGGATGTAGTTTCCTTCCTTATCTCTATTAATTAGATCTGTTTTTCTTTTGCTTTGTCTGATATCAGGATTGCTACTTCTGCTTTTTTACTTCAACTGAAGCATAATACATTCTGTTCCAGCCTTTTACCTTTACTTTGTGTGTATCTCACTGTTTCAAATGTGTTTCTTTTAAAGAACATATTGTAGGATTATGGTTCTTAATCCACTCTGCTGTCTGCTTCTGTTTTATGGGAGAAGTTATCCCATTCATATTCATAGTTATGATTACTATCTGTGTCTTTCTCTCCATCCTATTTTCTCCCTTATCATGCTTTTCTTTGTCCTTTCTCCCTTTCCCTCCTCAGTAGAGTTTTGCTTTTGACCACCCAGTCTGCCCTCTCTTCTATCAGTCCCCTCCCTTTTCTTCTCCTTTACCCATTTACTTCTTCCCTCCATTCTATTCACCCCTTCTTTTCTTTTCCCTTTACTCTCCTACTTCCTATATTGTAAGCTAGATTTCTATACCTAACTGATTATGTTATTCCCTGTTTGAACAA